AATACTGTTACGATTCTATGGCATCAAACTGAATATATTTCAACAAATAATTTATGTCCCTAGAATACAAAGTGAAATTTTAAAAAGAACTTACTTCATTGTGAATTAAATTCAAAATAGTCATTAAGTTTTATTACAAGTCCAAATTTATAAAGTTCAAATACTGAATTTGTTGTAGTCTCGAGTGTGTTAATGTGCCAATGAACTGGGATGTGGTGATGTGTTGACTGTCTTGTGAGGTACCACAATAATATAATCCAAAATGTTCTTGACTGAATTCATTATAATTCCTAATAAACGATTTAGTGTAAGAATATTATTTTGCACTTTGTAATTCCAACGAATAATAATTTAAATATATTAATCCACCCAAATTAAAAACTGAACCTATCAATTACTATTTTCTGAATACCACGCCAACTTAACGGAATATTTATTTTCTGGAACTTTGTAAGGTCAGAATCAAAACTGCACCTTTAACTCAAACTGAAGCAAAGACGTTTACAATTAATGATGATCTGAATATTTAATCTATAGCCATTAAATATGTGTAATGTTGTTTACAAAATAAATATCACTAGTTAGGTAGATCATTAACTTGATTTTGGACTAAGATCATTTACAAAATAAAGATATACATGAACTATAATTATTGAGAAAAGCCAACAAACAATACAAAATCAAATATACATAACACCTCCCCTCATACAGAAAACGATTTATCCAATAGAGCTTTCCTTTACATATTATTCAAATATATAAACGATTAAAATTACATAAGATAATATCTAATAAATGACACATGTGTGTATTACGTTGTTTACAAAATAAATGTCACTAGATAGGTAGACCATTAACTTGATTTTGGACTAAGGTCAATTTCAAAATACAGAATATTCATTGAGACAAGATCCAACTAAAAAAAAACAAATTAACGATTAAAAGGCAATAATCACATTCTTATATGAAAAGAATGACTCGTATGAGAGTATCCCACATTTTTGAGAATAGAAGTAAGGATCTAGCGCAAAAAAATGAACTATTTCCATTTAGGGGGTTGTGGAGTTTTATTTTTGCAAAAAATGACAACATACATCGTCAGTATGCAGAGGCAAGGGAAAAGGTCACATGGTACTATTCACGTCATTTAACAAGTGAGATAGGCATACGCATTAGTGTGATGAAAATATATCCATAAACGAATAATTAAATAAAAATAAATTTTAAAAATATTTTTGTTTTTAACTGAGTATTCAAAAATACTGGGCTTGTGATCATGTGGCGCAGGATGACAGAATTTGTGAGGACATGGCATTTCTACTCCTCTATGAACAACTGTTTCAATACTCAGCGATTAATCTTCATTTGATATACTCTTGAATGTTATACACTACTGAACCAAAATTATTTAAACCTTTCTCTAAACACTTTGCATGTTGTTCATTTTATGAATGCAACGATAAACACTGCTAAGGAGGCGTGAACGTACACGGGTCAATCCTCAAAAATGACAAAATGCATCAATGAAAATCCAAAAACTTCCTCTCAAGTTTAAGTTAACGTTGCGCCGCCATCTTGGATAGGGACACTTGGGTACAAGGGGAACATGATATTCAATTCCTACAAAGTATTAACATTGTGGTTGGACAAGTGAAATTCAGGGTTAAAATGCTCAAAGAATTAACATTCCTGTCACTCTGCGGAAAAAGGGAATTTAACAATGATAGATCTATGGGTATCTGTGGGAATTTAACAGTGAATCTAGCAAACATTTTTACTAACCTGGTTATATAGAGTGACTTGGTCGCCCATAGGATTAACATGGAAGGTTCAGGTGGGTACAAGAAAATCAAAATGAGTGCTTACATGAGGTTTTATGCTCGAAAGAGGAGTGTTTTTAGCACGATTGTACGCATGTATTCATCACTGATACCGTTATCAGCATAGGGGTACGTATATATCCAACTTTTCTGACATTAAACCGAAACTAAAAGTACTACTAAAATTCAGAAATTGAAACTGAATTTAGCGGAGACTAAAGAAAAAAAAACTTGGAATATTTTATTAGAAATGATGATGCTAAAAGTAAAAGTAAAATTCTAAATATGAAACGGTTTTTTACCTGAGACAATAACTAGTTTTTTTGTACCATTAATGTATATACGCAGTAAGGAAAGGGAATATACACACATGCGTCAAGGACAGAGAATATCATTCCAACTGTGTTACACATAAATGTTGTTTTACAAAATTAAAAAAAAAAGTTAAAAAAGAAACAAGAAGAGGAAGCTATATTGAAGGAAATGCAGTGTACGTTTCACTGTTTAATTTCATACGACAAGAGCTAGTAATATAAAGTACAGACATTCGTGTGTGTTATATCCACGATCTTATGCATGACTATTCTCTTGTTTGTATATTTTTATTTCTTCTCATTTGACTGGTTGATTTGCTCTACACGATACACATTTATTGTATTGATACTCGCTTTTTGTATTTCGGTACTGGGTTTTTTTTGTGTTTTTTTTTTTTTACCAAGTTTGTCCTTTTTTAAATTCGACACTTGGTACGAAGGTGTAAGCAAACCTCGCAAAGCATCCGATTGCTGTATTTGATATTAACCGAAATACTGCTGCTTCGTATTGGATAACTGACTTGTACCAAGAGCATACGTGCATATTTGGAATTAAAATGCATTATTAATATTATTGAATTTTACCCAATCTTAGAATTATAATATGATCTTGCAATCTCAAAAGCCCTTTATATCCCCCGTCTATAACTTTGAGTGACAAGCAAGTGAGCATACTGTATGCTGTGGTTTTAAATTTTCTTGAAGCGCAAGTGAGATATGAAAATAATCATAAGGTATGGTAGCATCAGGCAATATAGAGGGTTCTATGGTATCGTGGTAATCGAAGTTTTTGATATATTTTTTTTCTTTTTTGCATAGTACAACCTATAGCGTACTTACCTTAAATACACTACATTTCAAGTTCTGCATCACTGTTGATTTAGGGAAACTGTCGGGACTGCTGACGAGTGCACTGTTTAAAAAATACACCCATAGATATTACTGTTTCCAAATACTGGCCTAAACTATGTTCTCAAATTGAATCTGTATCTTTTTTAAATCTATATAATTCAATTAAATCGGTTAGCAAGTTTGTCGTCTGATAATGTCCAGTGTTATGCAAGAGTTTTTTTACATGACGAAACAGGTGGTAGAATGGGTGCCATGGAAGTAACATCCATTATTCAAACTGATTTATATTTTGTGCAATATATACATTAAGTTCCAACAATCAGGAAAAGTGTATGCAATTTTTAAAATAATTTTTTGGTATTAACAAGATGTCAGAGTAACTCTTCTTGCATAATATGAAATCTAATGGCGTCTTTTTATCGATCGTTTCTCTCAGTCATCTGACTGGAAATTAAGTGCATTTTATTGCAGAGAAAAGACCAGCAAATAGACACCTATAATATCTTGAAGGTCAATTTTTTAACATCTATTTATTCGTCGATCGCAAACTTTAAGACCTACGATACGATAGCGCTCCAGAAAACAACAGCGTAACTTTCAATAATGCGTAGTTTTGGTTCTCTCGGTCACGATGGTGATGATGGCAAGGCATAAGAGTTTACTCGATTATAGTCTCTCTCTCTCTCTCTCTCTCTCTCTCTCTCTCTCTCTCTCTCTCTCTCTCTCTCTCTCTCTCTCTCTCTCTCTCTCTCTCTCTCTCTCTCTCTCTCTCTCTCTCTCTCTCTCTCTTTAATGGCCACAGTCACTTTTCCGTTGTTCTCTAGTTTATTCATTTGAGCTTTGATACAATAATTCACTCATTTAGAAGTTAGCAAATGAGTTGACATTCTTGCCCTTTAATTAGCTACAACTACAATTATTCTTTTATTGACAAGTATAGATATTCCATATACGATGTACACGAGCTGTGTACTTTAGGTTTGCAGTTTCAAACAAAACACAAACAGGAAACGATTTGGGGGCTGTTTTTTTTTATAGGGTAGGGTCTTTGAAAGTAAAAAAAAAACTTGCTGTCGCTTTCGCCAAAATCCTTAAAAAGCATAAGAGAATCGAATAAAATATAATACTTTGTCTGATGTTAAATGTAAATCTTTTTTCAGAAAAAGATTACAAGTCCAAAGAGTAAAAGCAGTTTAGATATGACGTCCTCACTAACTAGGACGTTCAACTCTCTCTCTCTCTCTCTCTCTCTCTCTCTCTCTCTCTCTCTCTCTCTCTCTCTCTCTCTCTCTCTCTCTCTCTCTCTCTCTCTCTCTCTCTCTCTCTCTCATGGGAGTGATGCATACACACAGGCCGATTCAAATACAGTTATGTGGTGTCAGTCAATACACAACGTAGGCGAGCTCCACTGGTGTCATTTTGATAAAGATTAATATATTTCATGATAACATCGGCTCATGATATACTAACATTTACTTGATAGTACTCGTGGGCATTAGTCTTCGTTATATCGAGGACGTCAAAGGAAAGCAACATAATAACCAATACTCTCTAAAAACATTAAATTTAATACAGTGTACTAAAAACGTAAGCTTGTAAAAATTATTAAATTCCATTGTGCTTCCTAATTCACAAGAGTATATCAAATGTAACAATAAAAATTGTTTCGATTTGTTTATTATTATTATTATTATTATTATTATTATTATTATTATTATTATTATTATTATTATTATTATTATTATTATTATTATTATTATTATTCTTTTTCTTCTTCTTCTTCTTCTTCTTCTTCTTCTTCTTCTTATTATTATTATTATTATTATTATTATTATTATTATTATTATTATTATTATTATTGATATTTAACACTATTATCGTGTGTTAGTTCTTATCGTTATTGATGAGAAGGGTTATTTAGTAGACAACATATTAAAAAGATAATTTTGTCCAGTTTGTCCTTTGTGGGTTTGCACCTTGGGATGAGGTCATTCTGTTTGGTTTACATGTGACTGTTCTGATGGTCTAAATGGTTAGAGCGTCCGCCTCGGATGCGGGAGGTCGCGGGTTCAAACCCCTGCCGAGTAATACCAAAAGCTTATAAAAATGGTACAAGTAGTTGCTTCACTTAGTGCTCAGCACAAATATGCCTGGTGTCAGGATAAAGTGACTGCGTGGGGCACGATGATACCAGCCTGCGTCTTGATGCTCCAGTTCTAGACATCACTATAACCGGGTAGTGAAGACATCGTAGCGATGTTTGAAGAATTTTTAGAAGCTATGTTAGAAATTTAAATCATACTAGTACACATCTTAATGTGGCCTTTCGACATTAGAAGGTAAGGAAGAACTGATGATTTTTTTTTTTTGATTTGAGTCAGGTCATTGGTTACTTCCCTAGGAAAACCTTGATTTCTGATGGTCTGCTGTTAAAAGACCTGACCTTACTGACAAGTTATAATGAAAAAGAAATTAATATTTGACCCATATCTTGATTATGAAAATATGTCTTAGTATTTGATATAAGGTAATGAGTAACAAAATTATTTATTCCTATCTTAAACACATGAAATACATCAAGGCTGCTAGCATATCTACATTACCCAAGGCTATTGGCACACCAGCCGAATAGATTGGACATCATACGGAATATCACTAAAACTCATCTGGAATACACTGTACTTTTTGAATTGTGATATAACTTTTAGGAATATTTGGGATTTAATGCACAATACTGTAAGTTATTTTAAATTTTCACTTCATATAGAGACAAAATGTTTCTAATTGAATTTAAAAAAACTTTTTTTTTCGCTTCTTTCTGTTACTTTGTTCAAGACTATAGTCGTATTATTATTGAATATTATTATTATTATTATTATTATTATTATTATTATTATTATTATTATTATTTCTATTATTATTTCTATTATTATTATTATTATTATTATTATTATTATTATTATTATTATTATTATTATTATTATTATTATTATTTCTACTACTATTATAATTATTATTATTATTATTATTATTATTATTATTATTATTATTATTATTATTATTATTATTATTATTATTAAAGTTTTTATGTTTAAATTTTGTAATATTTTGTGAAAGAAAATTAATTTTTTCTAAATAATTGAATTTTGTTCTAACATTTTTAATTTTTACTTTTTTAATTGTAAAGTTATAATTTTGTACTCGTCACTAGCAATTGCTTTTGATTGCAATTTGTTCAATCGGGTAATATTGTCTTAAATGTGTAATTTGACAAATGTTTAATTAGTTCATTTTAGGTAGGTAAGTAGGTAGGTAAGTATTATCCCCATATTTTGCTTCTTGTATTTTAAGTTGTGCGTTTGCTTTTTTATTTTGTTAATAAGGATGTACTTGTTTGTTGTTCGTTTGTGGATGTGTTTCTTTGTTATGAGTTTGTCCATAGGAGCTGTTAGTGACACATCTCTCCATTCCTTCCTGTAATTGTTCTTTTTATGTGTAGGTGTTTGTTTTTAAGAACTTTTGGTAGTGACTGCTTCGAGTCCCCTATCTCTCCTCGCTATATTTGTTACTCGTGGGTGTTGGATTGTTCAAATAATTGACTCTTTGTTCCTGTGTATGTGTGTTTATATGCAATTTTGTGTGTATATAAATGATATTAAAAATATTTCCCTCCCTTCCTTTTGCATGCTGGATAGAAAATATAAGCATAGTAACTAACACCCACTCCCTTCCCTTTGTGCATACAACGGTATTATTGCAACTCTACGGAATTAAAATTAGTAATATAAAAGAGTGATTAGCAACAAGCTTTGCATAATTAAAAAAAAAAATAATTACTTCCCAGTAATACAAAGTGAAAATGTCCAAATGATCAAAGTTTTGAATAAACTTAAAAGGAAAGCCAAATTAGATCAAACGCTGGAAGTGTTGATGTGCCTGTGGTGGTACGACTAGTGGTGATGTGCAAACAGTCTTTTGTTGAATCACAATAATACAATCCAAGTTTATATCCTTATTTGAAGTTTCATTATAAATTTAAGTCTAGATTTCCATGAATGCTATTTTGAGAACTTTGTATTAAAAAGAGAAAAATCACTTGAATTAAATAATTTGAATAAATAATTTCAAATATATTACTGGATACAACAATAATACGACTAATTCATCTAAGGTGTTACAACACGAATAATTAATTTCTAGAAGACAAGATTATATAGACCTCTACCTGATCTCATATCACATTTAGCATTTTCCAAAACAATCTCCAACCCCACCCCACCCCCAAAAAAACTATTGCCTAATGAAATTGTTCCTTCTAGAAGGCTCCAAATGTTCACAGGATAAATCTTAAAATTATAATAATGCAGTAAACAACAGGCAGTTCCGGCAATTCCTGGGAATTTCCAAAGTTCTAAACTCACATTGAGATAAATATGTTTACAAAACCAAAATGAGATCTCTGTGTCTTTGTATCTAAGTGCAGTGGGCAATTCGTTTTACGTTAATGGGCCTTGGTATGCAAAAGAACGTTGTCCATATGATTTCAGCTTCATATTGGGAATATTAAGAATATGAGTGTCAGAAGAGGAGCATAAGCATCTTGCAGGTGTGTACACATGGGTGAGGTCAAATAGGTATGTTGGACTCGAGCCCTTCAGTGAAACGTAGCACAGAGAACAAATTTTGTGTTTAATTCTGGATCGTATGGATAGCCAGTATAGGGTACATAGCAGCGGAAAGACGAGGCATGCTCTGATTATGGTACTCTAAGGGTGATCCGAGCAGCAGTGTTTTGAACTTTTTGAAGTTTCTGAAGTAGATATTGAGATGAACCAGAGATAACTGAATTGCAATAGTCCAGTCTGGAAAGTACTAAGGAACACACAAGTGTTTTAGTGGCATCAACTGACAGATACTTGCGAATGGAGCTAATGCGTCTCAGCTCAAGATATGCAGCCCAGCATATGTTCATGACATGTTGATGCAATGAGAGAGTACTGTCAAGAATGACACCAAACTTTCGTACTGACTGCTTGAATTTAATGTTGGTGTTGCTGATATTTATTGTCTGAGGTAAAGGTTGTGAATGAGAAAGTCTTTGTGTTGTAATCAGGATGGCTTCAGTTTTATCATCATTCATTTGCAGCTTGTTACATGTCATCCATGATTTCACATCAAAAATGCACTTCTCTGTCTTTGGATGGTAGCTTCAACTTCAGCTGGATGGCTAGATTTGTATATTTGAGTGTCATCAGTATTCAATTGGTGAGACACTGGATGATGATCTATGACATTAAAGAGTGGCTGAGTGTACAGAATGAAGAGAACATGTCCAAGAACAGACCCCTGTGGAACACCACAGCATAGAGGAACACTACAGCATAGATTAACTGGGCTGGAGTGTTTTCCATTTGCGGACACAATTTGTGTCCTGTTGACTATGTAGGACTTGAACCATAGTAAGGCCGTATCATGAATGCCAAATACATGCTGGAGACAGTGAAGTAATATATCATGGTCTATAGTGTTAAATGCTGCATACAAGGAGAGTGAGGACTGTAGTCTTTCCGCGATCCAAAGCAGAGAGAAGGTCGTTGACTACTTTCAGAAGGGCAGTTTCAATACTGCGGAGAGGGTGATATGCAGACTGTACATTGCTAAAAAGACTTTAAATTCAGATGAGATACAAGTTGGGATAGAACAACTTTGTCTAAGATTTTTTTTACATGAATGGGAGATTAGAAACTGGGCGGTAATTCTTTAGATCATTATGGTCAAGTGTTGGTTTCTTCAGCAGAGGTTTTACAATAGCAGTTTTGTAAAATGATGGGAATTCCCTAGATGAGAGAGACGTATTAATAACATCAGTAAGTGAAGGCAATATTGGATCCAAGCATTTTAGCAGCAGTGACGTCGGAATAGGATCCAGTTCACGGAATAGGATCCAGTTCATATGACTTTGGTGCACTCTTCATCACGTTTGTAGGTACTAAATCCATAGAGACATGTTCAAATGCTGCTAATGGTTGCCGCTGAAATTCTGTATCGCAACTGTATAGTGATGACGAGTCAACTGACATTGTCAAGTTTATCTCTCATGGTTTGTACTTTGGCACGGAAGAAATTTGCAAACAGGTCCGGAAGGTCGACTAGAGAGAAGGTAGTACATTTGTTCCTTGACAGTAGCTTGTTAGTAATCTCTAATAGCTCTTTGCAGTTGAAACTTTCCGTGATCTTACTGTAGTGGGCCGATTACGCTGCATAGACCATGTTTGTGACATTCTTATTAGCGGCATCATAAATCTGCTTATGAACAGTGAGTCTGGTGGAAAGCCAAAGTCTCTCAGCTTTACGACGGTCTCTTTTAGCAGTCGGAAGCTTGGTCCCTAGCACTGCTATAACACGGAGAACACTTCTGAATTAAAACTTTGCACTTGGTTGCTGGGGCGTGTTTGTCGAGCAATGAATGCAGGCAGTTATCAAATTGTTCTGCTGCAGTAGGTAAGCTAGTTGTTAGGATTGCTTGGATGTCGGGTATTAGTTTGCTGGGGCGTGTTTGTCGAGCAATGAACGCAGGCAGTTATCAAATTGTTCTGCTGCAGTAGGTAAGCTAGTTGTTAGGATTGCTTGGATGTCGTGTATTAGTTTGGTTCTGTTTTATCATACTGAGGTTTCTCTTAGAGAATAAAGGTGAAGGGTTAGGGACTGATACGTCAAGATGGCATATAATGCAGAGGTGATCTAATGAAAGTTCGTGGGACAGCACTGTATATAGATGATAGTTTATGATCTTTATTCCGATTATACGCATGCAGGTTGAGAATCTCGTGCAATCTTTGCAAATTTCAACGTTGTACAATTCTCTTTAAATATTCATTAGCACAGTGAAATAATTATATCTTCCTTTTATCACACGAAACAATCAATTAATGGTAATCGTTAAGAAGTATATATATATATATATATATATATATATATATATATATATATATATATTTATATATATATATATATATATATATATATATATATATATATATATATATATATATATATATATATATACAAACACACACACAAACACCACATA